TCCATCACTGTCTGTAGTGAGATTTAGGAGCAGTTTTGAGGACCAGGTTTCACCCTCCAAAAGATAAACCACTTTGTTTTGTATTGGTGCGCCTTTGAAATTTGAGAGTTTGATCTGTTAAAAATAAGATTTTGAAGGAATAAATGATTCTGTACATATCAATGCTGTTAAACTGAGAACCTGATCTTAGATCTTACTTTTCCTTCTATAACTGATCCATGTTCATATGTTTTGGGCATGTCAGTAAGTGTGCATTTTCCAATTTCATAAGTGAGAGATATAGTTTCAGATTTTGTCATGGTGATCTCTGTAAAATACAAATAGATGATGAGTGTGAAACTTACATTTTAATGAAACCAGATTTTAAAACTCTAATTTCAGTAATTAATAGCTCACCTGTTCCTTCTTCTGTGACTGTTGCTTCAACATGAAGAGAATTTTCTAGTCGATCATTATATGTTGAGTTTAAAAAGGTAGATATATCTAAGGTATGGATGGCACAGCCTGTCTTTTTCATCTAATGGAAATGAATGAACACAAACACAATGCCTAAGAGTGACTTAATAATCTGGAGGTAGGAAATAAATGTCACATGCCACTTTTGGTACTGGACTGACAAACCTCAGTGGTTTCATTCACACATATTGGACTGTGTTTGTCATGCCTGTGAGAGTAGCGTGGAATATCACGACACACTTTCACCCATGATTTACCAGATACAGGCTGCCCGTACGTGTATCTGTGAAAAATGTACAAGACAAAGATGTATGGAAGAAAACAATCCTTTCTTTATGCTTTTAATACGTTTAAGTAAAGATGCTACTCACTTTCCACAAACCTCAACTGCCATTAACTCATCATCTATGCTCACTGTCTCTGGTGCTGTAACAGTAACTTCAAACTTAGGCAAAACTACAGAGGACGAAAGTTATAGTTATTATTAATCACATTTTGACTTTGTATGAAATTTGTCCCATGCAAACATTGCAAATAGTTTATTACTTACCATATTTTTTCACCTCAAAATCATGTGAGATCATCCTGTCACCAATATAAGCCTTCAGTCTGTACACACCTTGATGGCTTTCCGGGTTTAATTCATAAGAACGCTGCAAAATCCAGCTTGTTGAAGAAACATTTGTCCATTGACCAATTCTGTTACCTTTACTGTCCTATTTAATACCAAACACAAAGTGCAGGTAGTTACAG